TTTGTGGCAGTGTGGGAGAGAGTGAGGGGGGTCTAAAAAGGTCATTTTTGGCGTGACGTTATTTACGAACAACCCCTAAGGAATGCTTTTTGGGTCAGATAGTTTTTCTATTATAAGAGTTAGAGCTATGATATCTACATTGATGAAGATGTGAAAATCAGGATTGCAAAAGTAAAAGCAACTATGGCCAGATTATATAGGCAGGTGTGAAACAATTCTAAACTCACTGAAAGCACAAAACTAAGCATCTATTCAGGATGTGTGCTCAGTACACTGTATAGTATGGCTGTGAAGTGTGGACAACCAACACCAGCACATTCATGGCAGGACAGATCGCCTAACACAGGGTTTCTGGAATATGCTTTAATGTGCAGCATGTTCTTGACTCTTAGTAAGAGACACATAGTATAGACATAAGCTGCTTAGGCCATGTAAAGAGAATGTTCAATGGATAAAGGAAGTATTTGGAAGGACCTGGTTGACAGAGAATTGACATAGGACAAGACATATGTGCAACATCTGTGAGATAAATGTGTGTATATAAGAAACATGAGGTTAGAAACAAATTTTTAAATTGGGGAATGGGAGAATATAGTTGGTGAATAGCAGTGAATATGGGAATCACGGGAATCCAACTGGTAAAGTTGAAATTCGTTATATTAATAGCACGTCTTACTACGAAGGTCAAATGTTCTTGTATTTCTTTTAATTTAATGTATATTTAGTCTAAAACTGTTAGTGTTAGTGTTAGATCTATCTATCACTATCACTCTCACACTACTACTACTACTACTACTACTACTATGACTATACTAATACTAATACCGGTACTAGTAACTAATTACTAATAGTACCAATATGCCAATGACAATACTACAATACTATCAATAATTAATTGATTATTAATTGATGCATCTAATTATTCTAAACTCTAACCTAATTGTTGAGCAATTCTGATTAAATTTTAATATTTTAAAATTTAATAGCGTAGGACCGTGGGACTATGACTATGACTATGATAGTCTATGACTATGACTAATTAATTATTTATTTATTTAGGCATACTAACTTAACTCAATTAACAGTGCAAAAATAAATAATAAAAAGGCTAAAGCGAGAGATTATCCTACTTACTTAAAGCATGATTTCACTATTTAAAAAAAAAAAATAAATAAAGGGCAAGAATACGTAGAAGTAGAATGCGAGAGAATCTCCTTTCAATTTCATAAAAGGAATCCGGAAATACAACATTAAATTCGAATGTAACGAATGATGTAAAAAGTAGAAAGTCTCAGTAGTGTTGGCTATTTTCATGGCATGGCCATGGAAAGAAGAAAATCTTTTGCAGGTGCGCTAATAAGGCTAATAGTTATTTTTTTAAGAACTAAGGAGTTAGGATGATAGTGAACGTAGACTCACCTTATTATGCTTTAAAAAAATGTTGAAATAATTTGGAGGCGAACTCTTAAAACCTTTTAAATTGTTTAGTTATAACTTAATACTTAATTGACTGAATTTGAAATGAATGAGACATTGACATGAGTCATGAGTATAATCAGTATGATGAGAATGGACTGAATGAATGGCAACGGTGGGTATACTACAGTATACCTAAACGGCCTACGGCAACGGTGTAACATCTTATTCTTATTTCTTATATTCCATTCCAAGGATGATAATGATTGCTTATCCTTGACCAAAGTCTAAGTATAATGACTAATGATTCAATACGAACTTTAACATTGACGTATATAGTGAAAGTATAATAATGGCAATGGACCATTAAATGGTAAAAACATTTATCAAAATGACTATATTATACAATTATAGTATAATTATAATATTAGTATATTAGGCTAATAAAATTTATTTGTAGCTTACTCTTCTTAGTCTCTCAACTCTGTAGGCTAACTAATTAATAGTAAGTAAGAAGAAGGCCTTGGCCTTATCATTATCATCAATGCAAGTCAAAGTCACTAAGTCACAAAGTGAGTAAGTTTTAGATTATGACAATCATGAATCAAAACAATAATAGTTGAATGTATTGAGTATTGACAAATAGATTGATTCTGATGACTATTCACTAAATGAACTAGAAAGTTAACATAGTGCAGGCATAGGCCTCATACTCATAGTCACTAGGAACTAAAGTTCAAGACTCGAGACATTAATCATTTAAGTTCAAAACACTAAAATTAATAAATTAAAGTAGGCCTTGTATTACTTATAATAATACTATTATTATTAATTGAGTACCCTTTGTGGCTAATGATCATTCGATATGCCACGACTTATTTTCCAGGGAGTGACTTCCCTTTGTTTATTTTTACTAAATTATTTTAGGGATCGATTTAGGGTTCAGGTTAGGCAGAGGGATTTATTTAGGGTTTCAGTTTAGGCATAGGAATCGATTTAGGGTTCAGGTTAGGCATAGGGAATATAAATGACTTCATGTGACGTTTCAACCAAGATGGTGGCCACTGATAAAATAGGGGCATTTTCAGTGACCATTTACCGCTAAACTTTTTAAGTTAAACCCTGCTAGTATACCCACCCAGCATACATTTAAAAATGAAAAACTTTGAAACTTAAATGTTTGCAATATTAGGCCTAATTATAATGCGAAGTAACTGTGTAGGCGTAGGGTGACTTGAGCCCAAAAATTTTAGATTATAATTATAATATAATTTCAGTGTTTACCAATTTATCACAATTAATTAATTCTGACATCCTGATTTTCTTTATTATGAGTACCGGTATGACTCAATAATAAATGTCCAATGTAGTAACTGTAATTAGTGTACTTAATCAAAGCAAACCCTAAAAGTAAAAGTAAAAGATCAATTTTTCTAAGTAATCAATATGTTTTTAGTCATTTTAGTTTAAATTTTTTCTTATTTTATTGATAGGCTTTAATTAAATGAAATAATAATAAAATTTATCTAACTGAAATTGAATATGACTACAATTTGCTAAAATAAAAATTAATGTAAGCTAGTCACTTAGTCTTTTAATTAATTAAATGTTGTATTTTTTTTTTTGGTTATTTCCTCCTGTACTATCTACTTGCTAATATCTACATTTTTTTTATCCTTCCATGATAAAGACCTTATTCAACTTGATAATTGAGAATGAATACCACTTTCAAGAATATTGGATATCAGTAAATGTCATTTCTTTTTCTGTTGACACTTTCAAAATAAGGTAGATATATCTCTGCCTTAGAGCTGATCCTCTAGAAGTGGTGACACTTTGGCTGACTAATTACACAATATGGAGCTAGCCTACTCTTCTACTTCAAGCTCGGATTCTGGTTCTGACAGCAGCAGTTCAACAGATGAAAGTGATTTCCAAATTTCATCATGGACATACATCTGTAGATCATTTTCTGACTTGTTGAACTCGGGTGATCATATTGATGTAGAAACTATATACAAGTCTGCAGAACAAGCATTCTTAAATGAGGAACCAGTGAATTCAATTAAACTTTTTTCTTTGGGCTTAAAACAACATGCTGCTGAAATTTGGAGTCAACACCTCGGCCCAGAAACAAGGAAAATCCTACCTTCCAATATAGTAGATCATATTTGCCTTGCAATTAATCAGTGTGCGATATATGTTGCAAATGAGTTTAGAAATAGTAGGCAAATAAGTATAATGAAGCAGAGTGTTATACAGGCATTGGAGAATATTTTAGATCTCTGCAACAAGCTGTTGATAGAAAACACCAGTCTTTTGTGTAGTGCTGCTTCACTCTATTTCAGGTAGGACTTTTTGTTTAGTTCTGAACTGCATGTTAAAAACTTATTAAGCATAAATGGTTACTTGAATTTGGATAGGGTAGCAGTACTTAAACAAGGCTACAGTAAAAAAAAATTGCATTGCTTTGTCATCAATTTAAGTAAAATGCCAAATAATTTTAAAAAATGAATTTATTGAAAAATTTCTTGAAAATGCCATGCCACCTAAGAGTAATGCCTTATAATAATGACATTGGATTTTTTTCCCTTCATTTTTCAGCTTAAAAGAGCATAAAAAGGGCTTTAAAATGGCTACCAAAGCTGTGCTGAGAGAGCCTTCATCCATTTTAGCCCAAGAGACATATGAGAATATCTGTTGCCATCTTGTGGAAAGGTGGCATTTCGCAATGCTGAATGATAAATCCAGAAATCAAGCCTATCAATATGCTCTTTGTGACACTATTAAGAGAATGGTTCCAAGCCCCAACATCTGTGATGTAGGATGTGGGACTGGGCTGCTGAGGTACAAAGTTGTATATAAAAATATAATTGAAAGATTGCTTTAGTCTTATTAGAAATACAACTTTTTTTCTATCTACATTGCAGATGCTTTCAAAAAGTTTCACTTAAGTGTCTTTTTTTAAATCAGTCTTATTGCAGGGGAGCATTTTAACTGTGGCAAAGTATTTGCCATTGAAAAATCTTCTGTCATGTGCAGTGTGGCTAATGAGGTTTTTGATGCAAATCTTAACAAGGAGCATGCTAAAAGGGTCAAAGTAATCAATAAAATGTCAACACAGATGTCAGTTCCTGCTGATATGTCCCAAAGGTAATTTATGCAAGATAAAATCTCTACTGGAAAAGATTTAGATAAATGTAAAGAATATTTGTTTTGTTCTTTTCAAACAGGCGAATCTCCATTACTATTTTTAATGGGAAAAAAAATTGATTTTCACAGAGTCTAGTATATTAAAAGAGAAATGAAACAATCTATAATATACCACATTGAAATACAAAATGCAACATTGCAAAAACTATACGAGAATACCCATTACATAACTAACAACCATAAACAACACAGGCCAATTTACATCCACAAGATAATAGCTAGATCGACAACATCATCCCAGCAGGTGTTTGCGAAATAGATATGTCTTCAAATCAGTTTTGAAAGACTCCAGTGCCTGGCTGTTTCTGAGAGCGACAGGAAGGGTGTTCCAAATTGTTGGGCCAGCAAATTATTTTAATATGTAGAATTTCCAAAATACCCTTCAAAATGTATAGTTGATAGCATTTTTTTTATTTGCTACTTCTTTAAAAGTATTATAATTAAGAAGTTAACTTTGAAAATCAATTGTAATGATGGCAATTTTTTTTTTCATTTTAATATGTAGGATTACTGATCTATGTCAGCACTGCATTGAAGGTACATTACTCAAATAAAATCAGACATAGAAATAAATTTATTAAGCTATACCATAAACATTGAAATGTAGGAATATTTGTTTAGAGCAGACATCCTGGTCACGGAGACATTTGATGCAGGTCTGTTTGGGGAAGGAATTTTGCCCACCTTGTGTCATGCCTGGACAAAGTTATTAAAAAATGAAAGTACCCTACATGTAAGTAGCTCTGGCTACATGTGTTAATTAAACATGTATAGAATTTATTTAAAAAGGGAAATGCAGACAGTAAAGGAAAAAGGATAAAATTATTTAAATGTAAAAAATAAAAAACAAACATAAAAGTGAATTTGCAATACATAATTTTGTAAATTTCAATGTTAATTACTGTATATCTTTTACTGAGTTTGCTTCCATCATTTCGTTGAGTTCTCCCCCCCCCCCCCCCCTCCCAGTTTGACACTATTAGTATTAGTATAGCAGGGTTTCTCAACCAGGAGTTGAGAAGACCCAGAAAATCTGCTTTATTTGCATTTTTCTTAGCATTTTTTTTTTTATCATGAGGGTGCCACAAATATTTTTGAAATCATAAGTGGGTGTGGTGTTTCAAAAAGGTTAAGAACCACTCAGTTATAGCCTCATGTTAAATGGCATAGTTAGACAAATATTGAATAAAAACAAAATATTTTTTATTCCAGCGTGGAGTGGTCATTCCATGGAGAGCAGAGCTGTTCTTGCAAATAGTGGAGTCAGAGTTTATCTCAAATGAAAACAGGTATATTTTTAATATATCTTTTTACTACCAGTAAGCATCTTTAATCTTTTGTTTCATTTTTAAAAAAAATTATTAGACAAAAAAATCTCCTTACCGATAATGATCTTAAACTGTAATTTTATAAGTTTAAAAAACAAAGTTGTTATAGTTAAACATTTCTTTCATATAATATAATATGATGTTCATTCAGAATTTTAGAAAATGAAAGCTTGCACTTAAAAGTAAGCATTTGATATCTGTACTTTCTAATTTTAAGTGACACTACCTGGGTCAAACACAGTTAATTTTTGGTAAAATGTTTGTTGTTCCAGGGTCAAGGGGGAATTCTGTGACCTTGACTTGAAGAATATTTGCATATGCAGCACTGTAGGGATATGTGACTCTGACCCCTATACAACACATGATCTCAAGATATTGCCAGGGGGCTACACCAATTTATCAGATCCCCTAAGGTTTATGGAAGTGAATTTCAATGACCCTAATGTAGGCATCAAAATTAGAAAAGTTTAAAAAGCATTTTGTGTTTCAATATATGTAGTGTAGATCTTTGCCAATTATTGTGCTCTAGCTTAGGCTGGCAATATTATCTCTTTCTTTCTCATTATTTGACTGCTCTACTCTCTTTATGAATTAGTTATTGCTGATTTTATGTAGGTGGGACAAGTGTAGCTTAATTCATCCATTATGCAAAATTTTGCATGAAATGTTTTTGATATTTCTGGCAACTCAAATTGAAAATAATGGTTCTGACCAATCCCAAAATACCTTGCAAACTATATTGAATTTGAATAAGAAATATAAACAGGGTAGAGGAAAATCTGAAAGAGAACAAAAAAATAAAAAAAAGAGTGGATGTTTTGCTAATATGTCCTCAACAGCAAAAAAACACTTATGTAGTTGACAGGAAAAATGAAATTTACAACAAGCTAAGAGTGTTTGTGTCTGTGTTTCTTTGCTTCCATAGGCCTTTTGGCAGACATGTCCACGATTTTGTGTTGTCCTTTTTCAGGTTTTCCTCTACCCTTTGTATATGGCCGCTGCCAGCTGTACAATGGGGATTTATATTTAGATAGCCTTGGCATACATTTGCCATCACTATGGATCTTTCAGCTTCAGAATCATAAAGAAAAAATTGGTACCCTACTAATAGTCATAAGAAATCATCATGAAAACATTAATTTCATATTTTTTAAAATACCGATATGAAAAGAATTGAAATTAAATCTTAGCTTACTTTTACAATGAACACATTTAATAAAAATTATGCATAATAAAAATTCTTTGAAAAGTGAGAAGCTCATTTGCCTATTTTTTTCTAATGAAATGTTTCCAGGAATTGCATCAGATGAATCAAGGCATCACTCAAGAACTGTCTGTGACAATAACAAAAGCTGGAAGGCTGGATGCTTTGGTAATGTGGTTCTCACTGCATCTCAGTGAAACGGCTCATATTTCCACACACACGAGCTCAAACAGTTGCTGGGAACAGGCTGTCTTTCCTGCACATGCTGTCAAAATTGCACAGTCAACAGGTAGAGATCAAAATCCATATTTACGGCCATGTCAACAAATGTTTTGGCAATATGAAGAAAATCATGAACTTTGGTCTAATTTAATAAACAAAACCAATGTGTGCCTATGAGTGTCTTTTGTTTATGAAAACTCTTATTGATGTTATTTCTATTTCAGTCGACAATATTATTATGAGTAAATATGAATGTGTGTGCATTTGATTTAATTTGAACAAGTTTCAAATTATTCTTGATTAAGTAAAAGTCATTAAAAGTGGTTATTTTTCAATTCATTCCCATTCAAATTTGTTTCTTTTCTTTTAGGATCAAAGGTTAATTTAATTCTAAAGCCAGGGGACAAATTAAATCTCATTCAGTGTGTCAAGGGAGCTAAACTCTGTATAGACGTGAACAGGATCTCTACAGTTGATGAAAATGGCTCTGATTATTGCCAGACTACGTCACACAACATACCAAGGGTAATTCAACTTGTTGGCCAATGAAGCTAATAAGCCTTATTTTATGAGGTCCTGGTACTTAGCCAGTGTTTTTAATGAAATGAAATGAGAATACTAAAATCTTATAAGGGATATACTGTTCTAAGGAAAATTTAATCAAATTTTAAAAAATCCCACCAAGTTATTAGCCAATAGCTTAGGGTTACCTGGGATAGATATCCAACCTGCTACAGACTGGTTATGGGATAAGTGCGCTAAAGGGCTGCCACAAACAAGTTTTTTGCTGTTAAAATATTTCATTGGGAAAATATTTATAGTTGCAAGAAAGTTCTTGCTGTATTTTTATGTAATGATGTTTGACAATAAAAAGTTTTTTGTTTTTCATTTTCCATTTTCAATTTGTTACTACTCTAATCCCGTTAAGAAAATCTCTTTAAAAGTGTTTTAAATTTTTTTCCAAGGCTATGACTACAAAAAATTATGTTGTCCATTTATTGGTTAGTCACAGAACCATAAACGGAAGGGAATTAAAAACCTCTGCTGTTGGGTTGATTCAATTTCTGGCCCCATTTAAAATATGACTTCTTTAAAAGATTTATGAATTAGTTGAAGAGCTACTGACTGCTTCATTAAAATAAAACTAGAAAAAATTAGTTTAGATAAATATTACTGTATTTTGTTCTCTTCCATCATTTTCTTAACTCAGAAAAAAAGTTTTCTCTTCATAGTAATGTTGGATCATTTCAGTTTCTCTCCACCATTGAGGACTTGTGCAAGCAAAAAGTGTATTGTTTGAGTAACTCGGATGTGGTTAACCTCAACAACTCTGGCATTCAGCAGATCCTGAATCATCATCTAAGGGAGATAATTACACAGACAAAGGGCGGGAATTTAAATTTTGTTCACTTAAATCATGGTTTCTCACCAATGTGCATTCAGGTTAGAATTACATACAAATACTTGCAACATATTTCATGGCTTGATTATTATTATTTGTATTTGTAATGTTGTGCTTACAAATCATTGAGTTCAAAGGTTTGGTTCATTCATAAGAGGGGATATAAGACATAAAATAAAAGTCTTATTTTAGTTACTAACTACTGTAACATTTTGAGAGTTTCATCAAAAAATGGTTCATTAATTTCTTCTGACTCACTTAAAATATAAAATTCTCACTATAGGCATTGAAGCTGGGATACCAACGTGGTGTTGCTATTGCCTGCCATCCTGTTCACAGTGACTTGCTGCAAGAGATGGCAACCAGGCACCACGTTGATTTTGGTAGGCTGAAACTTGTGAGTGATGTGGATGAATTTATAGAGCTAATGGAAGGCGACAACACACCACAGACTGGAACAACCAACAACTCACCAAATTGTCTTGCAAAAAGAATGACAGAGGACACCTCCCAAACTACACCAGCTGGTTTAAGTGCGGTGGAGCTCAGACTCAGGGATAACGATAGAGGTGTTGTGGTATTGTGTGATGTAGTGGATTATCAGGGACGGATTGTGGAGAACCTGTCAGATCAGCTCAATGTTTTAAAGTAAGTTTTTCTGGGATGTTTTTTTTTATTCACTTTTGCGTTAAACTTTTTATGTAGCACTATCTCAACAGAGATATGTGAAATGTGTATATTTAACATTATTACGGGTACATGAATTTTAGGATCATAAATATTTATGAAAAATATTTATTTTTCTTGTAAAAAGGTTGTTTTCACTGTTTGTCACTTACCGTTATCCTTAAACTTTGTTAGGGAAGCTTTCTTGTTTTCTTCAGTAAAAAAGAGTCTGGACTATTGATAAAAACATTCCAAGTCCATCAGTAGAAACTTTCAAATTTTTTTCTTTTCATAAAGTCTCATCCTGCTTGTTTAAATTTCAATGCATTGTTTCTTTGTCTTTTAATCTAGTTGCTTTACTGAAACGTGATTTGAGAGTCACAACTTAGTATTTACTTAACATATTTACACCACTGTCTGAGCAAAGAGAAGCAAGTGAACCATCTTTATTAAGGAGAACTTCAATGCCATATAGAATCATGCCCAATAACATAAGTCCTTATGATAATCAAATCAAAACCATCTCATATCATATTGTTGGGGGTGAGTCAAGTTGTTTCCTATGACTGAGTAACCTTACAGGCAATATCTGTTGCTGACAAAAATCCTTGTCCCTTATTAAAATCATGTTATCACATCACTTGAAATTTAGAGATGTATTTATTCAGTCCTCATTTGCTGTCAGGTGCTTGAGGCAACACCGACTAATGCCTCTTCAGTCTATCTAGTTGCTTCTAAACTTTGTCAACCTTGTGTGTTTTCAATCAATGAGTTCTCGAATTTCAGATTCTGCCTGTCTGACTATACATCCAAGTTTGTCCTGCCTGAGAGTGTGGAAGTCTATGGTGTATTGATTGAGTCACAAGATCTGCTATGTCTCAGCAGGATTCAATCAGATGACAACACTTTGGGTTACAAAATTGGCCAGTTTTTCAACAAGTTTTCAGTAATGATTTAGTTTTTTTCTCAACCTAAAGAAATAATTATGTTATATATTATTTAAGAAAACAATTAATTGTATTCTTCCTTGCACAGTTAGTTCATCTATAGTTTTTTTCCCATTATCCATAGTATTTCTTAGAATATATTTTTACATTTGCATTATGAAAGCAACAAAGCCAGCCATACTGGCTTATTGACTTGAAAGCATTTTATTAATTTTCTCCCGGTCTCCCCTAGAAGTTCAAATTATGCTAATTGTACCTGTGGCCATTTGTTTTTTGCACTTTCAGGAGATTTTGTACAACAAATTAAATAAATGTCACTTTCTATTTGACATTTTAGACCAGGAACTACCAAGGCATCATGTTGAGCACATTATCTCACACAAAGCTGTCGGAACCCTTCAAAATGTTCACCTTTAGCCTCAAGAAAATTTTTGATGCACCCTGGTCTGAGCCAGTAAGTGAACAGGAGAAGGGTGCTCAAACTACAGCTCATGGCCCTTCTTCCAAAACAACTCACAATGATGGGTCTGATCATTCAGAATGTGTTGAGTTTGACACTGATGGGTCTAGTCATTCAGAATGTGATAAGTTTGAAATAAAATCAAGTTTCTCCAAAACACTTCATGTCATTGGTTCCAATGATATTACAACTTCGGACAGTGGTCAGCCAGCCAGTGCATGTGAGCAGACTAACACTGCCTCAATGTCCATAACTGAAAAGCTCTCACCTTCCTCTTGTCATGAATGCCCCACGACTGCCCACCCCACAGATGTGGTGCACAAAATAACTCAAGTATATAAAAAATCTGATTGTTCCATCAAGTGTCAACATGAGCCTAACATGACAGAATCCACGGCTCTGTCTAAAACAGTTGATACAAAAGACTGTGAACATCTTGAAAACACCATTACAGACTTAAACGTAGAAAACAATAATGTGAGCCTAGATTCTTCAAGCATCTGCTTCTCACCTACTCAGTCCATAACATCAAAATTTGATTTGAATGAATCTGTAAGTTTAAGTAAGCAAGGATTTGAGGATCAAGCAAAAAGAAGGAAAATCAACAGCCAGTCCAAAGAGGAGACATTTGAACACCCGCAGTCTGAGAATGAGAATATCGACTCTAAGAATATGGACCAAACACAGAACTTGAAGGTAATTTTAGGCATTTGTGCGTTAAGTAATTTTTAGTAGTCATGTTTTTCTTGTGTGGTGATATCCTTTTTGTTTTTTTTATTGTACTCCTCTTGACTACAGCCAGGAAAAGTTTCAAGGCGTCCACACATGATTTTTTTCTGACAACTATTTCTGTTAGGTACCGTATGGGAAATCATGTCAAGCCAAATAAATACCATGCCAATGAGCTGCTTTTTGATGACATTAATTGTAATTGAGGTGTTCTTTTGACTTATTGGCCAGAAATGGAAAAGTTATACAACTTTGCATTTCATGTCTGAATTAACAACTATTAGAAGCTGCATCTAAAGCCCTATTTGAAAATCTGTGCAGAGAGGCTCTGTATTCAGACCACCGTTCGTAAATGATCTGCTAAAATAATGGAAACACTATCAATTGACTATCACTATTTGTATTACAGATTCCAATCATTCAGACGGGCAGAGTCACAGCTTTAGTCTACTGGTTTGTCCAGCACATCTCGCCCACAGCCAGTATCAACACACTTGATCAACCATTGTACTGGCAACAGGCCGCTGTAATGGCCCAACAGTCCCCAAGTGTCCTACAGGGGGAGGTATTAGGTTTGGAGTGCAGGTTGGGTAACTCTGCCATAAGCTTTAACATAATACATGAATGACCTCCCATACACCCTGGGTAAAATATTCAGTCTGTAATTTCCTAGTGGTATCCTTCCCAACAGACCAATTATGTGCTCAAAGTCATCTACTATAGTTCTCCAGATGCATTCCTTCCTTTTAAAAGAACCCCCTTGGTGAATCAAATCTCAAACATTAGGTACTTTGACAGAACCTTAAATTTGTCCTTTTGCCATAAATGATACAGCAATAACACCATGTTCTTATCTTTTATAGAAGTGGATTTATTATTATTCCTTTTTTTTTCCTTCTTTTTCATATGAAGCTAAAAGTATTTTTGGTCACAGAATCAGAAAGATAAGTTTACAAAATTTGCACAAATTATCCGCTGGATCCTACCTGTTTGATATCTGCTGTTTTCAGTTTAAAAATAAAAAAACAAGTGATCTTTGAAAACTGTAGACCGATGAATTGATTGATTTCTAGAATTGATATTCAACTGGTTTATTGGATCAGTTCATGACATTTCTTGTGTTATGAAAAAGATTTGAATTTGAAGCTATTTGAGTGTTTCTCTAATTATCAACCATTTTATGATGAAAACATCCACAATCTTACGTTTGTGCAATGACAACTGTTGACAGTCAAATCTGTACAGCTAAGTGAAAAATGTTTTAAAATATTATGAATGAACAAATTTATATCTTAATTTGTTGTACACACAGCTTGAGTTGTATGTTGAGATTAGGTTGTATGTTGGCATTAGGTTGTATGTTGGCATTAGGTTGTATGTTGGCATTATTCCTATACTCCCAACACATTACTTTAAAATGTCAGAAAACAGAGTTCTTATATATCTATATCAAAATTAAAGTAAACCATTCAAACAAAACAACAGAGAAACAGGTTCAAAAATGTATAATGAGCAAATACTCATTTGAGTTAATTATGTTTATTAAACACAAGCACAATTCTTGTTGTATACTGATATGCAAATTGTCAAATTGTTTATATTTTATACTACTTTACATGTTTGTCATCTTCCTTCCTGTAAATGTCACCTTTATAAAAAAAAATGTTAGTTCTGATCAATTCTTGTCTTTCATCATGTTCTATAATATTCGTGTAAGTTTTGAAGGTCTAGGACAAGATGGTTCCCAGACCTGGGTTTCATGGACACAATAGTCATGTCATTATTTCTTATTTTTGAGCAGTGTTGCCCAAACTTTTCGTGACCTTTTGACCCATTACTTGTCTAGTCTCGCACCCCCTCCAATAGTAACAGTGCATTTTAAATTTTGAAAATATTTGAATTTCTATTGAATTTCAAAGAAACTGTAGATCTAAGAAATGATATTCATAAAGTAAAACATTAATGAAGAAAATGTACATGTAGGTCATAATGTACCCGGTATGTTCTTTCTTCTCTTTCCCTCGCACCCTCTGAAATGTTGCGAAATTTGATTTAGAGGAATCAGTAGCTATGTAATTATAATTGTAGAAGTTTGTTTCATTGTAGCAGGACTTCTCAATGACAACCTATTTACATTGAATGAAAAGTAGATAGGCAACAGGGTTTTTTAAATTTATTTCATTTTATTTTTTTTTTAAATTAAAAAATAAATGTTTGTTTTATTTACTTTTGGAATGAAAGAAGAAAAAAAGATCTTTTCTTTCTGCATACTCAGCACAGTTGGTGATCATTTTTCTCCCCCTCCCTTTGCACATATTTAAATTTCAAGGTAAAATTAAAAGAATTTTTTTTGTCTCCAGAGAGACCTTAACAGTCAATATGCAAACCAGTTTCTGTTCATCTCCTTCACATTCCTAATGTTAAAACATCAATCATCTCTTCAAAGTGGTCATCTATGGGCTCAAAAGAAATATCATTTTTTTACAGTTCTATATTTATTTACACTCCCATCAGACTAAATAGTGCTATATTTTATGCCACATCAGCATTAAATCATGTGGACATTCTTGTAATCGTGTTCGTCATTTTATCATTCATTGTTATGCAATATACTTGGCTAAAATAAGGTTACCAAAATTTTGGACAGTTCTTTAAACATTGATATACATTATCTTGCTAAACAGATAAATTGGAGAAAGAAAGAAAAGTAACTAAATATCTTTCGTAAAATCTGTGGGTTATACTGTAAATGCTTGTTTTGAATCACCTATTAATGAGCAGTATAACCTTGACCTCAGATTTCCAAAAGATGATGAAATGAATTGTAATTTGTTTTGATTTTTTTAATGAGATCGTTTAGATGACATCACTGATGAAAATTGTTTCACAGAATTACTCAGATGACGGACTTTACAACTTATAATTATAATAAAACAGACAAGTATATATATATATAAACCATCCCCAACACCTCGTGTGGATGGGACTCGTTGACCTTGGGTGGTACTCATCTAAGAGGAGATAACTCTGGTTTCCGTCAGTAGAATCTAACGGAACTCAATAAGAAATTCTCGCCGCTGCTGAACTGGCCATCCTAAAAAAATACAATGAGGGAGAGGATGTGAATACCGGTACACTATGCTCGACCTTCAAAAATGCCTTATCCAACAGCATAGATCAAAATGTTCCATCAGCGACAGCAAAGAATCCATGTAATCTACCATGGCTGAACACACGGCTCAAGAAGCTGCTGAAGAGAAAGAAACGACTGTTGAAGAAAGCCCAAACTACCAACAACTGGACCCTGTACCGCCAGTTCCAGAAAGACTGCCCTAGGGAACTAAGAAGGGGAGAGTGGTCGCACATAATTAGAGTCATTCAAGAATGCCTTGAAAATAACAACACAAAACCCTACTGGCGCTACATAAAATACAAGAAGCAAGACAACGGCCTATTCCCCCCCCCCCTACTAGAAAACAGGCAACTGGTAAGCAATAGCTAATGCAAAGCAGAAATTCTCCTAAGATAGTTTCAATCAATCTTCACCAAAATCTCAACCACAATCATACCATCCCTAAAACCTTCACCTGGCATAATAGGTCCCCTCAACATAACCGAACCAGGAGTAGCCAAACTTCTCAAAAACGTTAAGCCCAATACATTTAGCGCGCGGACCTGTGTGTATCCCGAACATTGTCCTGAAGACCCTGGCTGACAACATTGTCCTGAAGACCCTGGCTGACAACATTGTCCTGAAGACCCTGGCTGACAACATTGTCCTGAAGACCCTGGCTGACAACATTTTCCTGAAGACCCTGGCTGACAACATTGTCCTGAAGACCCTGGCTGGCAACATTGTCCCAACCATGACCCACATTTTGCAACAGTCGCTTGACTCCGGAAAACTCCCACTAGACTGGCTTGATGCAAACATCACTAGTGCCTACAAGAAAGGAGACCGTCATAACCCAGCAAACTACTGCCCAATAATCCTTGACCTCCGACCCATGCAAAATGCTACAACACATCATCTGTCACCACATCATGAACCACCTTGAACACATCATCTGTCGCCACATCATGAACCACCTTGAACACATCATCTGTCACCACGTCATGAACCACCTTGAACGCTACAACATTTTGACCAACTTAAACCACGGTTTCCGCTCTGAATTCTCAACAGAAACTCATTTATTAATCATCACCATGACCAACAACCTCCTTGCCTCCTATGACAAGGATATATGACAGGTCGATATGACAATTCTCGACTTCTCCAAGGCCTTCGACATTGTTCCAAACAGCCTTCTTTTACACAAGCTCCACCACCACGGCATTACAGACACCCTTCATTCCTGGCTCTCAACATTCCTAACACAACGAAGCATGCAAGTAGTAGTGGTAGATGGTGTCCGATCAGGCAAAGCCACTGTAGACACAGGGGTTACACAGGGCACAATGCTGGGCTCCCTTCTCTTTCTCTGTCACATAAACAACCTCCCTGATACTGTAAAATCTCAAGTGAAGCTGTTTGCAGATGACCGTCTTGTCTACCGAGAGATAAACGGCTACGATGAACACGACACAACCACCTCCAGGCAGATTTGAAGTGCCTTTTGAATTGGGCGGACAAATGGGGCATGAAATTTAACGAAACCAAATGCTACACAGTGAACATCGAAAAACCTATATGTACTCCCTACACAACACAATCCTCCAACAAGTATCAAATAATCCATACCTTGGAATTCTCTTCTCGAATAACCTAAAGTTAGTAAAGTGATCAACCCATCCAGGCCTGGTTTAACCATTAGGCGGACGCACATTTTTAGGGGGCGGCAGTATTAATTAAATAATTAGTGGGGGGCGCCAAATACTCTGGTGCCGGCCCTGAACCCATATAAACAAAATTTCAACAACAAAAAAAAAGCCGAATTTCAGCCGAATATTTCGTAATCAGCCGCAACTAGGTTTCATTGAAGAATTCTGCGCCACTGCCCAACCTCCTGCAAACAAAATGCCTATCGTGCATTCGTCCGGCCACTACTAGAATATGCTGCGATCATCTGGGACCCATACCTAAAGCAAGACGTGGACAAGATGGAGGGAATCCAACATAATGCTGTGCGCTTCATCGCATGTGACTACAACTCCACCACTCTTGGCTTCGTCACTGACCTCTTAAAAAGATTTGACATCCCCTCCCTCAGACGAGAAAAGCTTCGTCTAATATTCCTATATAAGGTGGTCATGGTCATGGTGACAGCCATCCCAACAAACAAGTATCTCACCCCACAGAAGCCAGGACTTAAACAGAGCCAAACGCTCAATAAACACTGACTTCACCTCTAACAACCCCATGAGCAAATCACATCAGGAACAATAGGAAATGCTTCACCGTGCCTTGGTGTAACACAGTCAAATATAAACAATCATTTTTCCCATGCACAATCATCGCTTGGAACCACCTGGACAATACCGCCATAAACTCGGCGTCAATCGAGAGTTTCAAAACTGCCCTGGCATCCGCTAGGAGCCGTTAAAATAGCAGCATCGCATCCCCAACCGTTGCACATGTGCCAGTCCATGGATTCAGCAACGTACCCTGCCAGAAGCAGAATGATACCATTTCCGTAAAAGTAAAACCCTCTTGTTTACAGGAGGTGCCACTAAAAGAGATCAGGGTGCCACCAGAGGAGGTTGCCAACAGTACAGGGTGTCACATGCGTAGGGTGCCAACAGTACAGGGTGTCACATGCGTAGGGTGCCAACAGTACAGGGTGTCACATGCGTAGGGTGCCAACAGTACAGGGTGTCACAGGCGCAGGGTGCCAACAGTACAGGGTGTCACATGCGTAGGGTGCCAACAGTACAGGGTGTCACATGCGCAGGGTGCCACCAGAGAAAGCAGACTTGGGGGAGGTCCATTGGGAAGTCTGGAGGGAGACATGAGTTGACCGATACTTGTCCCAGTAATTTAAATATCAATCTATTACAAT